GCAGTCTTATATCCCACTAAATCGAAAAATTTTAACAATTTAGACTGTATGAAAGCTACATTGGTGTGATCCCTATATCCCATCTTATGCACAATTCTTATCGCTCTTTTTTGTAATATATACAATGGTTGAAGTGAGCTTTTGTATGTATTTCCCCAGTTTTCAACACCATACTCTAAGTATGGTAAAATCAGTGAAGAATACAAAATGCGTAGTGCTTTCCCGTCCAAAATATATCTAACCTTTGCCAATATCGATATATTCATTACTATTTTGTGCTGAACATATCTTATATGAGATTTCCAGGAGAATTTGTCATCAACTATGACACCTAGAAATTTAATTTCATATACTTGTTCTATATTAGCTCCCCCAATTTTCAATTGAAGTTCATTATCTAGTCTACGATTCCCATATACCATAAATTTAGTTTTATCTAAATTCAGAGATAGTATATTACTATCACACCATTTCTTTATCTTCTCAAGTTCCTGCGAAACCCGTCCAAAAAGTTGCTGTAGGTTTTCACCCGATGCCCATATGGTAGTAGTTCAAACATACCATGATTTCCAAATGGGCTGGTGCGATAACAAAAAGCCAACTAGGAACACTAAACTGAAGCAAACTACCAGGTTTAAGCATTTGAAGTATTGTGTGGTACATCTAGATCTTGCACCACACTCTGGAGTGACTTTTGAAAAGGAGACAACACTCAACCAGACATCATTATATGCTTTAAATGTAATGTTGCATGTCAGGTTAAAGGTGCAGTCTGTAAGATTTATAAGGATTTATCAGCAGAAATGCATGAAAGTATGCATAATTATGTTTCGATTAATATGCAATCATTACAAAATAAGAATAGCTGCCTTTTATACAGTATCTATCATGGAGGCCACCATGTTTTTTTTACAGTAGCCCACAACGGACAAACCACACACTGGCTCTAGGACGTGAATTTAACATTGAGGTAGCAGTTTGGATTTGGATATGCTTGGAAAACAAAGTAACATTAAAAACAAGAGAAAGCACTGTTGTGAGTTTAAGAAGTATAATTTGAAGAAATGGAGGATTGTAGTTATACTTAACACAAGAAAAAAGAAGACAGTATGAATCCCAGTCATCAAATAAGCAAAGACACGAAGAAATTGGATAGGCAACAGCACAAGACAAGGATAAGCACCAGTATGGCCTTTCCCAGATGAAAATCTTTAATGAGGGACAAATGCTTCCAGAATAACGTTGAAGTTGCCCACTTTCTGATGGACAGGTAATTTAGCTTAACAAGTAAACTCAAGTTTTGGTTTGATAGCTTTAGCTGAAACATGGCCAGTGCTGAGTAACTCACTGTGGTCAGCTTTTACTTGATCAAGTGCGAGATTTGTCCTACAACTACGGTAATCGCGGTGAAAAGGCTGTGGGGGCTGGTTAAAAGGATTTATGAGAGTTTTGTTGCACGCTGCAATCTGCAATCTCACTGCTAGATGTCACTAGATCTCACACACGGTACCTATAAGATCGTTTTAAAAATGGTGGGTGAATGCACGGTAAAGATTTTAAATGCTCTGCACAGCTATGATAGATCAACACAGGATGAAATATTTTGCCTGTTTAGACATCCTCTCACACGTCTACAGACTGTGCTTCCCCTTTCTCCTGTTTGCATTGTGGTACCTACACCTTTGGCATTGAAACTTGGTGATTTCATGTGATTTTCATTGTATGGGTGTGAAATTATGTTGCTCCATAACCTATCTGCTATGAACAAAGAGAAATCTACACTCAGCGCACTCAGAGATCAATACCCACTTACACTGTACTTCTGTATAGTTTTGGAACATGAGTTCAAAACACTGCTCAAGTGTTAACACTGTATCAATGAACATGAGTCCACACGAGCTCAATCTGTTTAACACAGAAATGTTATTTTCCTGACATCACTGTTGTCACAACACGGTGTTAAGGTTATAATCATGATTAGACAAACATCTCACAATTTGCAGTTCAAATGGTTTTCCCTGCTGAGACACATTTTGCAGATTTTATCTTTAATTCTGTCTGATTCTGAACACGGTTTTGTAAAAAGCATCACTTGAGAGCTGTGTATGGACTTTAAATGAGGAAACATCTGACTGACTGTTGGCATCTGGTTACTACATCTAATAGTAAATGGATTTCATTATAGCTGCATCTGAGTCAAATTCTAATCAGCACCTGCATTCTGGCTGCTTGGAGCTGTGGGTTTTGAATCACCCAGAGATGCAGGAGCACTTTTAACAACAGACAAATACACTGTAGTCATGTGACTACTCAAATAATAATTCTTGAGCAATACAAAGTGTATTCATGCACACATATGCAATCATATTCTGATATTTTCTTTCTGTAGCTTGAATTAGAGACAGCCTGAAAATGTTCATAGCACCAAGTCCATTCAGTCAGTGTCAACAAGCTTTCACCCAGTCTGTTGGGACTGGATCCAGCCCCCCACCCCCCAGCAACCCTGAACAGGATAGATGGTATAGATAATGGACGCACGGATGGAAGTTAGTGTAGCAGAGGCATTGCATTTGAGTAGTGTGTTCATGTCTTAAGCCCACGGCCTATGGCATCGGTGTAAAGATAATACTCTGGAGTTTATGTGTATGAAATATGAAAAAAATATGAATTTATTAATTTACTAGTTCTAGTGCACTTAGTCCCCTAATGAGTTTTAAGGTAAGACCGTGTTGACATTGTGTATGTACAGTATATATGTGGATAAATGAATTCTATTTGTACAGTTAACACTGTAGAGATTTTACGAGAAGCAGAATTTAAAGTATTATACTGTAGACTGAGCCTTATGTACATGTACTTTCATTAATTAAAAGTATTACATTGTAGATTTGAAATTTTTAATGGTTACACTTAAAAACTACACAACGTGAAGATGGTTTGGCTCAGACAGACAGCTTTGAAACAACCTGGTGTTGAGAATTTTCGGTCAATGCTTTTAGGAGAATAATGTGTAATTTGGGCAGAATTTTTTGTTCTTGTGCTTTGTTTTGTTTTGGTATTGTTTGGTATGAAGGCTCATCTACTTCCACATCTATAATTACAACAATAACTTGTGAGACCCTGTTTTCTCCAGCTTTAGGACTTTGGTCTGGATCAGAAATGACGAGGCCTGAGATATGGCTTCTCATTGTATATCTAGCCTATGTGTGTTTTCTCTGCTGTGGCTCAGAATTCAAACCAAGCTTTCCATGATTCAGCTTCTTCACTACTGTAAAACTGCCTTGTGTGACATTATCCTTTACAACATGTTTAGTCTCCTAAAATGAAAACACAAAACAGTAGAAGGAGCAGCTGATACTGACCATTATCTCAGAGAGGGATCTCGCTCAGCACCATGGACAGCGAAAATCACAAACAAAGAACAGAGACCATTCCCAAAAGGCATCCTTATCTAGTTTAAAAGCTGAACATGTAAAACACAGAACCAGGTGATGAGAGAGGAGCGTGGGCCTGTTTGTGTCAGGCTCCGAGTGAGCTCATCGCTGAGCATCACGGCCTGGTGCACACAAGAAAAGCCAGGCTTCATGCTGCTCGTGTTTACCTTTGTAAATAAGGTCCTCGGTTTCCAGGTCGAATCCTTCCCGGTGACACTTCCTCCAAAGCCCGGAGATGGTGGAGTTAAACTGCCGGCTGCAATGAGACTCCATGGCCGACGCTGCGGCCAGAAAGTGCCGCTTCCTTCTGATGAGAACACCAGCATCTGGGCCGTTACCTTTCCTCTCCAGGCTCTTTGGAGGCATCTGGAGGGGGAGGTTGTGGTTTGAAATGTAGATGTACCCTGGGTCGTTTCGCTTGTTGGCATAGTTTTTACACCTCTCTCGATGTCTCCTAGCGTCGGTCTCGTACCAGTAATCGGTGCAAATCGCCATGGCAAGCAGCCCCAGTGCACAGAACGCCAAGAAGAGCCCCGTGCTGGTCAATATTTTCATAGCGGCCATCTTCCCCACTCGATGGAGAGCCCAAATAGTCGCTAGAAGGTTCCTCCGTGGCCGTGTTGATGGTACCGCGTGAAATAAATCACGACGGCACTCACAGCCTCATGCAGCCCTGCACTAGGAGCATAATGGTGCAAGGCCAGTGTTGTCTGGACTGGATGCTGCGGTCTATTGTTGTGGTACCCGAGGATGCAATGTTGTTCCCACCATCTGTTATGGTACAGGAGGAGAAGAGATGGATGGCGACCAACGCTGTGAGGAGGAGGAGGAGGCAGGGGCAGTGATGTAGCTGTGCGCTCTCTCCTCCAGGTTGTTGCGGGATGGGGAGCAGACAGGAATGTGCTCTGCTGTGGGGGAGTGGTCATTCATAATGCTTGAATGACCATCTTTTGGATTTGGCCAAGATGTAAAACACAGCTAAAAGCAATCGAGGGAGAATTTAATTACATGCACATATCAGAGATACAGCTTTGCCTGAAAATATATGTTCTTGAACAGCAGCAAAACAAAGTGGTTGGTATAGGAGTTCCCTCAGTATGGCTTCAGCTATTAGGGACTTTAATGTTTATTGTGGATTTTTTAACTTAAACCTAATCACGAGATGAATACCACCATGAACTAGTTGTGATAAACATGTTTACATTGTATAATTATGCATGTTTTCGTGGCTATATGCTGAACTTCTTATAAGTTTATAAACTTTCTAACCCCTGCTTTAAAGAAGCCCACTTCTTTCAAACACAACTTATAACTCCTTATTTCTAATGACAAACCATCTGTTACCAATATGTTACAATTTTAAAAACTGATGTACTTTCATGACTTGTGCAAAAACAGCTCATAAAATAATGTCAGGACTTTGTGAACAGTAAAATGCATTAGGTTTGTCACTGAGCATTAAATAAAGGTTGGTCAAAATGACAGAGAATATTCTCCACCTCAGAAAACTGCTGTATTTATGACCCACAAGATCAAATATTTTAATACAGGCACCATGAACTAAACACTTGGACTAAAGTTATGGTAACACAAATGAGAATCAATGAAAGAGTTTCGTGTTTGCAGTTTCCCAATGAACATCTTTCACAACACTACACATAGTGCTCATTTGTTGTCCTTCTGTGCTGCGAGTATGGACGGCTCCCACAGACAATGGGCTGCTCACAGGCCGATGACTAAAGAAGGCAACCTGCAGCGGAGTCGTTATGCCAACAGAAGCTTGCCAAACAGACTGCATTGAAATGGGATGAGTGAATACACAGTCAATACTTCCCTCCACTCCCATGTGACATTTTAGGTACAGAATCTTTGCAGTAAAAATATACTCATTGTGCAGCGGTGTTTGTGAAGTGAGATCAATTCAACACAGGTTTACTAATCAATACCAGGATATCCTAATCCCACAGAGATCAATACAATACCTGCGTCCCTATTCTTCACGTCTGCTACCACGTGTGGTCTTGTCGTCATAAAGCTGAAAATAAACAGCCTGTAAAATATACTGTATATATGTCAGGAATGTACAGTTTATTCCTTCAGGAGTGGAAACTTTGACCAAGTCAACAACGTGATGTGAACAATCCCACACAGGTCACTTATCTGGTGTCTCAGAATTACTGACAACATGTATATTGAAAACTAAATATTACCAAACAGTACCAGTCTATCCTCAATTAATTAAACCTTATCACAATCAGTTATTCAAGCCTAGCTTTGCATTAGCGCCAACCTGTGCTAAGAGGCAGAGTGTATTCTATGAGGGAGATACAACCAGATAAAGTGTACTTTGGTGTACTTTAGTCTTGGCACGTCATTTCTTAACAAGACAAAATGATGGCGTGGTGGTGGTGGTGGTGCATGTTGGATAAAAATGTGTTCTTTTTCAATAAATAGGAAGCCGCTGTGTCAGAAACAGAAGATGCAAAACAACAATACATAAAATATCTGAACAATTTAGGGTTCAATACATTTTAAAGAAGGTCCTTGTAGAGGGCCACAAATACCTGTTCTATTGAGCAGGTACATCAGGTGTACCTGTGTAATGTATGTGCAAAATAACAAGATTGTCTGCTCAACAATATCGTATAAGACAATTTGGTAACAAATATCCATACAAATCTTCTAATTTCTCTTGATATATAAGTCTGGCACATTTTAAAGTGTCCACACCAAAGTCCCGTCAGTCATCAATCTGTAAAGTGCCAATTCTTTGTCAGGTATTTGATTTGGTGTAACATGATGATGATGATGATGATGATGATGACTGAGCTTTCCATGATGAAGAGGTCCCAGCATCTCCATGCTGAGTTTAAGTGTCTGGTGAAGCTAGAGGAGGTTTCCTCCATGTTCAGTCAACAATGGCAGAGAGCAGAGCCATGACAGCCACACCACAGAAAATGAGCAGGATCTGCTGGAGGGAGTGCCTGGGGAGAAAACAAGGTCGCAGATTCAAGGACATAAAAGAAACATGCCACATACCCATTTTCACATCCAAGCATAAAACATGTGTACACCACAACTTTGGCACTGTCTTGATTATTCTTGCCTTGTATTTGCTACCATTCTCCCACTGACAGGTTTCAGACTTGATGTATCATGTACATCAGTACATAACCTCGTTATGTACCAAACTTAGCTATCTCAAAAATAACTAGCCTATATTAATCCATATAATTATTAAGTGTTTGTTCACTTCCACAGAACAAGAGGGGACATTAGGGATGGAAGATAGTCACCATGATTCAATTTCAACACAGAACAGGTTAAAGGTACTCGTAGTACTATAAAGACATGCTTTTACAGATAGATCCCTGTTTTGACTGTAATGTGTGTGTGTGTGTGTGTGTGTGTGTGATTATGCAGGTGGCGTGATTTGAATCCTGCCACTGGTTTCACTCTATCACAATGATCAACTGTTGGTCATGGTAAGACACCACTAATGCCAAATGTAAAATTTACCAAGAAACTCCACAAGGCACTATTAAGAGCATGAGCATTTAAAAGTGTCAACATTAACATACCTTAAACTGGACTCCTCAAGCAGGTCAGGCACCACATTCACCAAGGCTATGTAGAGGAAGCCTCCTGAAGTGAAAGGCAATATCCAGGCAGTGGAATTTTCTAGAAACAATGCAAAACACTTACATAGAACTGGTTCTGGCAACTGTAAAATGGTCTTCACTTAACAATGTGTTTGACTATACAGTATGTATATTGGTCCCATCTTACCCATGTCTTTCGGTGACTGAGTGTACAGAGCAAAGCAAGCTCCCAAGACCCCAACCAGTGCTGTGAACAGCTGCATGCGAGCAGCACTCCATCGGTCAAACCCAGCCCTCAGAAGAATGGCAAAGTCTCCCACCTGCAGAAGATGAACATAAACATTCAGTGTATTTACAAGCAATGTAGTATTCAGAATCTTCTTATGCGCTTTCAGATAGGTAAAAATGAACTCTTAAACTGAATCTCAAATTTCTAAATTCACAAACACAATCTTACCTCATGGGGGATTTCATGGAGTAGGATGGCCAAGGTGGTGAGGAACCCGACCTGCAAGGAAAGTCTAGTTAACAGGGAAAATATATGACATTCAGCTTTGTTGGGGGCTTGGGAGCACCTACACTGAGGGCTAACCTCCACACATTTTGATGGTTCCCCTCAGGTTTGTCTGAATAAAAGATCTGTTTCAAGTCTTAAAAGAATTAAAAACTGTAAACCCCAACTTATTCATGTTTAATCAATTGATGCACACAATTTTTATACAGCACAACACTGTGCCAAATCCACACTGTGATAAATGCGTACAAGAGTAAACAGACAACACTGGTGAAATGTCTTGTATGTGTGTGTTTGAGACATCTAGTTAGCTTCCTCTTTGGCACATCCATCCATAGTTCATGCTGCTCGCCTTATGTTTCTCCAGCTGGACTCTCTCCTTCCTGCAGCTACAAATACAGTATATAGTAACCTACCAAAGTGATCCAAATCCACGTTACTGCGGTTTAAAGTGCACCTTTTTTAACACGTCTGTAACACAATACAACAAGAACAGGTTGCAAATTGAAAAGGTTTGTTGTATCCTCTAATGAATGCCCAGTGAGTGGCCCTCATAAAAGGTAGTGGGAACGCTGAAACAACCGGTCTGCTGCTCTGCCAACGAGCTTGTATACGCTGCCAAACAATGTACTCACATGGGAGGTGTTATACGTCCAAATTGCCCAGATTTATTTTTGTCCTTTTCTTTCAGTCTTATAGCACTACTCTTTGGACATTTTAAAGCTCTCCTACTGTATTTAACTTTTAAAGTGCAAACAACCACCTTTGCTTTCACACATTTAGTTTTTCACTAATCATGACACTACCTTCTTGTCAGTCATTTTCTTTGAGGCCAGGATCTGAGGTTCCTCTGAACAAGTGCTGTAATCAAAGGACCCAGATCACATGAATTGACTCAAGTCAGACTTAAATCACAAATTGGAGGACTTGGGACTTGCTTGACTAACACTGGTAAAAGACTCGACTTGACTTAGACTTGGTATTCATGACTTGAGATTTGACTTAGACAAATGACTTCACTTTCTTAAGATTTGCATTTTTCTAGATATTGAGAAGTTTTGTTTTTGAAACAAACTAGCACAGTAACTGGTATTCAGTAGCCTTCAAAATATCTACATATCCCTGTACAACAAGACTTCTCAGCCATTATAAACTGAGTAACTGTTGTGCTTGCTTGGCTGTTGATTAATCGGAAAGTAATAACTTCTGGCTCAGTTAATGATAACTATATTTCATGCATCTTTTTTTATGTCCTAAACGTTGACATGAGGAACTGCCTAGTTTCAGGTTATGCACAACATTTCTTAGCAATGATGGTTCATGATTATGTGCTAATTTGGCCTGTCACCACAGGGAGCTATTTTACCTGCAGTGATAGCTTATGAAAACCAGGAGCTTTGAATGAGTATGCACGGGGAGGACTAAGTGTGAATGTAATCACATTCACACACACATGAATAATTTGCCAAACCAGTGTGGTTAGGCATTTTCAGCACATGATGCTGCTTGCACAGCAGGCAATTACCAGACATTTTTACACTAAAATGTACTGTTGGAGGACTAATTACATTAACTAACTAAACATGAATTAGATAGGCTGAATTCTTAGATTGTCAAATCACTTTGTGATAATTACTGACAGGTATAAAATAAATGTATGTTTTTGAGTCTTCAAAAGTCAAATTCTAGACTGTATTTTTACACAAGAGTAAAATGAAGAACAAGCACTTGAGCAAGACAAAGCCAACCAACTTCATAATCTACATACTACATGCATATTACTTCAACTGTAGCCACAAAGTTTTTTTGTGTCTATTTAGTGTTGTGGTTGTCACAGCATCTTACCTTTTTGCTCACCAGAAAACTCCCTGCTACTGCCAGCCCATGAGTGAAGTTGTCAATGCAGTTAGCCAGTAGGTTTAGGTATCCACTTGTCTGGAAAAAAGCGCTTCATGTTACTCACATTTTTATTCACAGTTTTAACAATCCTAGCAGAATCTGTGTTCTACTGTACTTCAATATCCAGAATGTAAGCTTGTCTAGGCTGTAATTTTAATCACCACGCAAGTCTTACTTAGTTCAAGTTACTTTCAGCTTTGTAGTCTGACCCCAATGAAAATAAGGCTGTAAATGGCCCATTCCTGTGAGCAAACCAGAAACAAAGAAACCGAAACATACTTTAAAAAGAAACAAAAAGCGGCTGTTGTTGAGGAAACATGAACTTCTGGACCAATTCTTTTGTTGCTGTCCCTGTGATATACTAGTGGATTGTGTAAGGGGGCACCCCACCTCTCAGCCAACATGCTGGGACTGGCTACAGATACCTGCACAGAACAGGATAAGGTGCAGACAATGGATAGATATACCAGGGCATTCGTATATTAGAAACAAATATATATTTTGGGTTGTTTTCATGATGCTTTGTGTGAAGCACACTTAAAAGGCAAGCGTTTGCTAGTCTTTGTTATATTTCCATTAATGGCAATTTGCCAGACTTTTTTTTTTTTTTTTTTTTAAATGTCATTTATACCTTGACTGTTTCAATTTTCTGTTGATGATCACATATTTTACAGGCTTATGGTGATGCACGATAAAGTCTGATGGTTCAACAAACCCAGGCATATTTTGTCATGTAAACAGAAGATGTTTACTGATGTATAAGTAGTAATATGATTTTATCCCTTCTTTCCAGCGTGGCTGTTTTGATTAGTTATTATTATCTACATACACGTTAGTACTAAAGTCACACTGTCATGAGCCACTTGAGTGGACTTAATTTTTGCGTTTTACTTATCTATATTGTGGGTCTCCAAAGTCTGTCAGACTAACCATACAATTAAATGTACAAATATTACATTATATATATATACAAAATATTTTTGTATTAGAAATGTGTTAGGAGTTGGTTGCACTATTTAAAAAAAGCCAACAGGCTGTGTTAAATGTATCTCTCTGGTTTCACAAAGCCAACTAAGTTGCTGGCACTGACAACCTACAGGACTGAGTTGATGTGCCCTATATAAGCAGCCCATCAAGACTTTATTCCCAGTGGTGTCTCTCTAAAAAAAAGTAAGAACTAAAATTTTTCTTAGCTGGTGAATGTTTTAGTTGTCAGCATTACCTTGATTTTCTCTGATTTCTCCTGCAGACTCTGCTGCCTGGAGGATTTCCATGACTCAGCATGGAGCCCATTTCTGAGTGATAACACTGTCTTTCCACTGAAAACGGAATTAGACTGTGTCTGCTGAAAAAAAAAGAAAGACAAACAAAAGAAGAAATGATCAAGAGCCCCACATGCAGTCTTTTTTATATACATTTGATGTTTTTTTTTGTTTTTTTAAGTGTTCCCTTTACCCATCGATGCCTACCATCAGTAATACTCCATTAACTTTGAAGGCTTGTCCCCCCTTAGGAAACATATTGCCTACCTTGGCCATAACACAAGTCTTGCTAAAAACAGTTAAGTTAATAGTATCCTCAAATCCACACTGCAATAAACAGGCATTTTACTGTTGCTCCCACTGTGTGTCACATGGTTCACCCGCTGGCAGCAAAACATCTGTTGCAAAAAGTCCTTACTATTTTTCTAACTTCCTACATGTGCAGAAATAATAAGAAGTCATTTGCACTTTTGATTTATTTGTCTGACATAAGAGACAAGTCTTAAAATTCCAACACTATTCAACAGGTTTGCTCTGAATATAAAAGAAGATACTGACTCATGTCAGGCTGTAGCCACCATTTTCCAAGAAGCCAACTTCGTTGTTCCCACATTCATAAACTATGGACATAGTAATAGTCAAATTAAGCCAGAGGGAAGCAGCCTGCTGGCTTCTAGTTATGGAAAGGAAATGTTTGCTCCATGTCTATGACAGAAGCATGAGAAAGTAATAATGTGTGATGACTATTCAAGGTTATCAATCATCTCATGTGAGTGGAGCTAATCTGTCATTTCCAAATACTTCTTCTTTACTAGTTCTTTATACTATATGTTGCATTAAGCATCATAGCTCTCCACACATGATGCATCAATCAAAAACAGCAACCCAATTCAAATAAAAAGAAAGCTCAGCTTGTTACATCCAGTGTATCTTTTAGTAAGATTAGTCTCAACACACAGTGAAGAGAAAATACCTCTAACCCCCCTCTCTGCCTCTCCCACATGTCCCTGCCTATTGTTGCCTCTGTCTACGAGCTGAGTGTTCTCCTGTCGACACTGAAAGGACTACAGCAGCTGCTGCTGCTTCACCCCGGCACTATAAATAGACACTAGTGGAGGAGCTGAGCCATGGATTTCAATCTTCTCCCTCGCTGGCATTACAAAGACAGGAGGGAGGATGAGACCATCTTTACAAACCCACTGCAACCAGATGTTCACTGCTTATAAAAGAAGCAATGTGTTAAAAAGTTGTGTTCATCAATCTTGCAGAGTTGTATTTGATGTCACAAGATGTACAATATAATTTCTAAACAGTAACTGTGAACTTTAACAAGAATCTTTTTTGTGCTAAACAATGACACCGTGTGTGTTCTTACCTACTACGGCATGGCTAGAAGGTGCTGCTGCTGTGCTCATTTACATCACCGGTGTTGGTAAATATGCAACTAAATTTAAGAATTGCAGTGATGCAATATTTTGGGCACATATTTTGTTACAGGTTTAATAAATAGCCCTCTATATCTCATTTGGTTTTGCAGACTGAGCACAACAAGGGTCTGTACTAAGCATAGCCATGAAAATAAAAAAAATGTGAAGGCTTGTGTTGACATGTCTGTGTGCAGTCAGACTCCTGTGGACAGCAGTGAACATATTCTTGTAACAACATACTTTCTCAGCTTAAATACTTACCGCAGAGTTAAAATTCAGGTCTGAATTTGAAGTAGGATTCTCTTGGCTGTTTTGGTCTGGAAACATCTTCTCCAAAAGAAGGAAGGCCAATAGGCCAACAATTACCCACAAGCCCTGGGTCATATAGTGGTTTTGTTTACCAGCTGGGGAGAAGCACAGACTGTACATAAGACTGAGTGAGCAAGTACGTGACAACTGAGTTCTAGCATTATAGCAACACAAAGTACTGTAAGTGAGCATTTGTACTTCAAACAAGATTATTAGAAACAAGTGAAACAGTGTATTAAGAACAAGTGGTTTTCACCTGCTTTAGACTAGGTTGCAGGAGAAACATAAAAATGTAATTGCTTTACAAAAAAGTGAAATTTACAGCTACTGATGAAAGGTGATTATATCAAACCAAACACTGTCCTTTGGTGAGGTTTAGGAAATTGACATTACATTGGTCTGTGTCGTCTGTGAGAAAGCAGACTGTTGAATGGCAATTCAATGCACAAGTACCAGTATAGGCTAATGGTAACTATATCATAAGCAACTTTGCTAAACGTAACACAATAGGAAACAATAAACTATTCTTATCTAAAGGTGGTTATGGAAAAGAGATGTACCCGAGGAACCAGAGTGTGCCCACGCCTCAGGAAGGAGGTGAAGAAACACATCGCCGAGGAGACCACCAATAGCAAAACTCAGGAGCTGTTTCAGCTTCTGGCATCCAGCTGAGAAAACAGTCAGGAAACAAGGTAACAATAACTGCATTGTCTGATTAATACAGAACAGTAAGTCATTTTACATGAGTTTTCACTTTGGCTTGCCACAAATAAGAATTCACAACTCCACAGTTCCTTTGTCTTTGTCTGGTGCTTGTTTTACTGATTAATTTATCATTTCTCAACAAATAAAACATGATGCACATAAATGTACAACAGCGTTTCCGGTTTAGCCTCATATTATACCGTATACTGTGGTTACTCATGTGTTCCGAAGAGCTTTGTTTATCCTCGAGGAGCTCCCTTGGTAATGACTAACCTCTATTCAGGACTGCATTTGAAAACCAAAAGCCCAAAATACATCTGGAATGCCACGTTCCTCTGGGTGGGGGCACTTAAGAAGCCACAGTTCTTATCCTCACCTACAATGATTCTGACCAGGTTACTGAGGCTTGGCAGCTGAGTAAGGTTTAGTACCATTTTAATACAAGAGTATGATGCTATAGTGATCATTTAAAAACATATTTCTCTCAACAGCTGAGTCTCTACAACTTCATCTCTCTGCTGTGTATTCAAGCAACATTTAGCAAATATCAACCAAATGAAACTGCTGCATAGCATTTGTAAAGTTCACCATTTTCAGTCCACACTATGATCCACTTTTGAGGAGTGTGATACTAGAGCTTCGAGTCATGAATGTGAAAATATATTTTATAACTGAAGTTACAAAGAATCAGATATATGATCATCCTGCCCTGAGACTTGAAAAATAGCCTTCTGGCTAAATCTGACACATTTACATCTTTGATGTTAATTAAAGTGTATTTTTCTAACCCAAATAAACTAATAAAGAACAAAGAACAAAGTCTGACTGTGAACAGAGCAAGAAACTGTGACTGATAGACAATGCGAATCTATAGACTATACAATCCAGAGCAGCCACCTGATGGGTCAGTGTCAGGTCAGCCTGTGCAAAACACACAGCTGGATCCCCCAGCATCCAGCTGAGCTGGACTCTCTTTTATTTTGATGTTTCTTCATTAAAAATACTAAACATACTGTATTTTTAATGCTAAAATTTAAAATAGCCTTATTATTGATAATACAGTCTATATGATCCATTAGCATTTAGAGGGCATCACTGACCACTGGTTTGCAACATTTCACATATTACAGAACTATATTGTGTTCTTATTGTTATAAACAAAATATTGTGATAATATAATATAATATTGCGAGTTACCAGGTACCAGGGGTGGCCAATTCCAGTCCTCGAGGGCCACTGTCCTGCTTGTTTTCCAACTATCCCTGCCTGACCTGTTGCTGATTACCTGGCTCAGGTGTGTTCAGCCAGTCAGAAGCTGGACGATCCAAAGGCATAAATACTGCCATGTCTTACCTTCTGTTTTGAGGGTAGCTCCAGCTTCAATGGGAATGACGAGCAGGGGGAATATTCCGCTGAGGCCAACAGCAACAGAGCCCACCAGGGACAAGAGCCAAACATGAGCATTTTCGCTGGCTAAGAATTCAGCTACTGCCTGAAGGCCTGGGAGGTCATCTGTCAAAAAGGGTCCTGGTCCTGCAGCTGTGTGCGTTGCATGAGCCATAGCCGTTTGTGTCATCTGGTGGCTGCTTGATGCTCCCCTGTAGGTCAGCATCAGCAGGCTAACTGGGAAAAAGAGGGCAGCTACAGCCCAGCTGGGCCTCTTACAGCATCGACCTTTCATCCGTCCCACGGTCCAAAGAGCACTTCCAAGCAATAGTGCTGTAGGAGGAGCACACTTTCAGACAAATAGGCCTCTCCTGCATTCTTTTCAACAATGTATGGAGAATCTAAACAAGCAAACTGGGACTACAACTAACTAGTTCAACTGATAAATTAGGTCTGTTATTTGTGCAAGGCCATGCTGGAAGATGTGCACAAATCACTGAACTGTATTGAAATTAAGCTACATGAGAAGTCTAGAGGGGACATCACTTTATGGCGGAAGTGCTGACAACTCATACATCTTCAGAATCAGAATCAGCGTTATTGGTCAGGTGTGTTGGAAACGAGGAATTTGACTCTGGTACAGTGGCTCTCAATGTGCATGTACATTTCCCCATGCAAGGCAACAAGGGGCAAGTAAACAATAAACCAATATAAGGCTGTGTAGTATAACCAAATAAACAGAATAAACTGTGCAGACAGACAAAAGAATGTTCATTAGGAATCTTAATTGTGACAAAAAGCCCCAACTACAGAAGGCTGTTTTTGTGAAGGGTCACAAGCCAAAAAGGTAGGAAATAACGGTTTAAATTTTAACAAGGCATTGTGTTTTCCAAACTGATCACGTGGTTTGGTATTATCTTAATAGGTACATTAGCTATTACTGTGAGAAACATTTAGTGCACTAACATGGAGTGGAGTACACGTGTGAAGTAGTATAAAATGAAAAACAGTCAAGTAAAACACCTCAAAGATGAATTTAAGAAGAGAACATGAGTTAACGTAGTAGCTACTTTCCAGAAAACTCTAGAAACATCACAATCAATGTTTGCTTCCTTTCGATACACAGAGTTAAAGTTACCTTAGAGTAACGTTAACCTGATGTATCTGATTGTCGCATCTTTTGTAGAAGTGTTGAAACTAAATGAAACAACATATAACGTTAAAGTTACTGGCCACTGTTTGAACCATGCTGCCCATTAATTTTCTGCAGAACTATCAGCCAAATGAAGTAACGTTAGCTAGCCAGAAACTTGCAGTACAACAACTGCGCTACACTATAAAGTATAACGTTACACAAATTCAAAACGCCACCGAGCCAAGCCGACAGTGTCATTACAGTGAAAATCATGATTTTAACAGCGACATGCTAAGCTAGCCACCGCTAACTCTGGTAAAAGTTACTGTAGCAAGCTAACGTTAGCCATATGCAGAGGCGTATAGACGCTCATAGGTTGCTAGAGCAAAGTAGCTGCGACACACGCAGTCTGCAAACGACGTCACGTTGAAATTAGCACCAGTTTGAGTAAGTTAGTGCCAACGTTATAGGTAGAGACACCTCGTCAAAATAACAACACGAATGTGATATTTTACATGTAAATACCTTGTGACTTCGGCGGTCTGTGCTCCAGTGTGTCCCTGCCATCCAGACCGGCTTTCTTTTCCAACTGCTGAGGGCAGGGATCCGCTAGTCGCAGCACAGAGGGAAGTGTCGGTGTCCACTGCTCCCAAACAGCCACGTATCAGGATCCTGGAGGGGAAAAACTTAGAAACAAGAGAGGAGAGTCGAGACATGAATCCCGCCCCACCAAAGATTTCAGGAAATAACTTGATTCTTTGCCCCAAGGACCCAGAAACTTCCACAACAAGGTGCAGCCTCCAGGAGAGTTTTCTTACATTTCATTTCATTTCATTTCATTTCAAGCTGCATGGTTAAAAATGGCGTTAATCCACCTTATAAACAAAACAGACATGCTTATAAGTTAGCACACAGTTCCTGAAGTAGTTCATGCATGCATTTAATTAGATTTAACAAACAAAGATAAGATTATTTTCCATAGTAAGATTGCTGGATTCACATGATTTGTTTCAGTCATTAAATAAAATGAAATTACTATATTTGAATAATCAAGTAATTCAACAGAAATTGAATCTACAACAACTGATAATTGATCAATAGAATAATTTTCACAAATGTACCCTGTGGCTGTTGACCTGTACTAAATTATACAAAGGGGTGTTTCTGTTATTTATCCTAGCCTGACCATTAAAATGGGTGGGAAAAATAATAAAAACACCTTTCAGTATACATGTACAATACAACAGCATCACAAAATCCAAAATGATCATACAGTTGAATCAGCACCTCTCTAAAACAGTTTGAACATTATCACCTTCAAGAAAGGAGAATTTATTACAGGACTGGGGAAATGATTCAGGACATAAGGGGGCAGACTCACTGGAAATGTTTCATTGCACCAACTTCACGACTGAAGGTTGGGGGGGGGTAAAAGGTAGGGTTGGTGACTCCTTCCAGAAGGGTCTTTTGTTACCTTTCTTAAATTTTTCTTGCAAACGGAGACCAATGTTACAGGCCACGCCTTCTCCTTTAAGTCACATAGCCTTATAGGTAATGCTGCCAGAAGTTGTGACCTTCATGCAGTATGACAGCGAGAAGAGGGCCACATCTCAGAAGTCAGACTTACTCCCTCCAGTGCATGGAACAGACTCCTTTTGCACTCAGCCACAGGTCAGGAGAATACCAACAGCAGTCAGCTTTAAGTGTACAGATAGGATTGTAATGCAGTTAACTGGGCATCAAAGGTCACATGCAGTGTTCGTGTGACCAAGACGAAGTAGAAGATACACCTTTTAGCAAACTGTCTCACGCTATTTTGATGATCAGCAGATGGCAGTAATGTGGCAAGAAACCCTCTAATAATACAAACAAAGGTGGTGAAGAAGACTATGCTAGCAAATAAATGCAGGTGTCACACTTTTACAAAGGTTTTGTGAGGAGGGAAATGCATTTAGCATATTTGTTTGACCTCGAGGGTATACACAGAGTGTTTTAGTGAGTAACACTGAAACGTGTTTGTTTAACAAGAAAACTCCACAGTGCACCTTTAAATAGAGAGTCAATTGCACTTGTGACCTGCATTAAGGTTTACATGAAACATATGGTAAATCTATAAAATGTAATGCATTGTTAATGCAGTGGTTTGCAACTGTTTTGGGTCATGACCCCTTACAACAAATCAGTGTTTTGGGACTCCCGCTCATGTTACAGCTGTATATAGCAGTTCCACCAAAAAGATGTTTCCCATCTAATCTTTTCATTTAGATAACTGATTGACGCTCAAAGAGGTGAGCTTATCCATTTCTCAAAACAGCAAAGATCAGAAAAATGCCCAAAATACGAGTACAGATTTGTGAAGAACTTTGTTTTTCTTCCTTCCTTAAATATGAAGTCTGTCGAGGTCTGCAATGAGCATCTTAATACCCACTTTGTAAGAGCTGCTCCTATAGTTAGTCCATGCATGTAGAACGCTACTATCCCCACCTCATCTCATAGAGGACGCAAGGTCCAACTCTAGCTACAGTAAATTGTCTTAATAAATCTTAATAAGTTGCCTGACCACCAGGTGGTGCATGTGACAGTAGTTTACTCAATGACATTTGCCCTGACAACAACTGCCCCCTGCACAAAAAAACTTCATCATGTTATGGCAGTACATACTGTACATTCGGTCTATTGCCTCAGCATTATCTGCATTTTAAATGCTTTGCAACTAGCTAAGCACATAATATCTTCTGAGATGAAGTAAACCTACATGACTACGTGTATTTTCCCACTTAAACTGGGATTAATGGTGAAAAAGTAAGCCTGAAATGTTTAATTGGAGAGTAAAGGAGTTGAGGTATGAATATTTGTCTACATTTTCAGCTGTGCTTGTCGCTAAATAATGATGAATAACATAGAATGGCTTAAATGTACAAACAGATGATGATGATGCCAACAGCACATTGCCAAATTCAAACTGACCATATGCTGCTTATAAAATTTTAGAAAGTATAGTTATTCTTTAATTCTCAGGCTTTAAAAATAGACAGGCTAATTCTAACTAAGGCAGACTTAGCAGAGTGAGATGTGAAGATGACAAAAAACATGATTAATATCAGGACTGAGTCATCCTTGTCTGACTTGAGCAATACATAAAGAAAGAGGAACTTAGTTGTTTGGTGGGATAGGGGCCTTGTATGGGTATATATGGTTAAATGTGTGTGTTTGTGTGTACAGTAGTTCAGGAATGAAGATATTCAAAAAAGAGCAAGTATTATTAAACTGACTGATGCAGTACATTGGGCCTACAATTGCATGAGGTTCTACTCATCATGTGAAAAAACCTTTCCACTGTGAATGGTTTTGTGTGTGCATGTGTGTTCATGTGCATGTCCTTGTGCCTTGTGATTCACCCTCATCTAATAATACCCACAGCCCAGTCTGATAGTTGACTCTTGTGGAGTCCAGAGAAAATGAGGAATCAGGAATAAGAAGTGAGAGGGCTGAATGTCCCCTTGCATACATGTCAAGCAACCGTTCCATGTCATTGTGAAACAGATGATGGCCACTGAAACCTCTGGTGACACTTAGCCAGGAAACACAGGCCTCTGCTGTGGACTGACCACCCACAGAATTGAAATATTCCACACAACAGTCTCTTGTTTGTGCAGATTTCACAAGCATCAGCTATGCTAAAACGAATGCATTTTGTAAATTCAACTTGTAAGCAGGGCTAACTTTTTGGGCTAACGCAACCCTGCAGACACTTCCTGGATTGCTTTTCGGAGTCAGTCTTGACATTTTGCCTGCTGACGGCTCGAATTAGGCGGCACAATATAGCGCTACATATCAAAATGACAGTTTCTTCAACCTGACATTAAATTGTGGCTCACACTGTACTAAGACCTGTGAGAGTGTCAATATACAATAAATAATTTCATACATGTATTTCTGTGCTTTTTAGGATTACAATACATTTGCATTGCTGAAATTCTTTGCTGTTGTTATCTGGCCAAGGTGCGCATGCACGTACAGTAGACCTTATAAGTAAGATGTTTACCTAGCCCACTTAAGTTCTTCAATTTCATTTTCTAATTCGATGACTAAATTTAGCTTTATAATCACCTTTGATGCACACAAAGAAAATGCAGCAAACATTTGCTGTAAAATGTTTATACAATTGTGGATTATATACTGTGTGAAGAGACAATTGCGTATCTTCAGAAACAGTTTAATCTACTTGCATGTAACTCTGCACCTTCTGCAGTTTTTTTTTTTTTTTTTTTTTGATACAAGACGGTCTGGACATCCTTGACCTAACACCAGAGTAGCAGCTGCTCTGTTTGTCAAATTGTTTCCTATCAGAGCAAATTAAAATGAATCAACTGATCTGAATGCTTGTTAGGTGACGTAGAGCTGCCAGCCAACACAGCTCTTTCCCAGAATATTATCGAAGCAACCAGTTAGGCACACCCAATTGCATGTCTTGTTTCACAAAAGCAGTTCTGTAATTACATCTTGAAATATGTTTTTGTATCCTACCACTTTGCTTTTTGCAAAATACTGAATTTGCTAAGTTGCAGCAAACTCTCAGTGCTTAGTACTGAGCTAAGTGTAATAAACAGAAAAAGCTGTTCTTTAGCTGATAGAGAAATTGTAAACAAGTGTATGTTGCCAAAGAACTAAAAGTTTTGAGAATCACCTATATGTCTACATGCAGCTGCTTTTACTTTAAACTGTAAATATATTTTAAGCTCTCCACATTGTCAGAAACATGCAGCACTGACATAAAGTACATTGTGTCCCTGTGTATTGGTGATTAATGGTCAGTAAATTAAAAAATAAAAATAAAAAGGTTCAGCACTTAAGTCAAATGGAGACCGTAGGCTTTAGACACAAGATGTCAGGATGCGGCTGAATGAACTGAACTCAGCACCAGGAGTTCAAGTCTTATTTTGTAGAAGAGTTTGTCACCTTCTTGTTTTAATAAGGAAGAAGAAGAAGAAGGAGAAGGAGAAGCCTTATGCTACCAACCTAAATTGGTAGAATTAAGGAAGTTTTTAGTTCCCCTGTTAATTCAGAGATATATAGAAAGCCTGCATTTTTCAGTCATCTTTGACAATTTGCCTCCAACACCTCAACAGCTGTCTTGCTGTCCTGCAGACACCTTTACAGTTCATCACTGCATGTTGTACAGAGGGCGACGGTAAGACTCGAGCACATTTGTTCTCTGAGTGAGACTGTGGGCGTTTCTTCACTTTCCTTTTACAAGTTCGCTGATATGAGGTGTTTTAGTACTACTTTGTGTTTTGTAGTTGTACAGTGTTAATAATTCTTTAA